TCTGAAATAAAAAATACAGGTCCGTACTTAAAAAAATTAAGTTGGCCTCTGTATCTCACAAATTATCAGCTAATTTAAAAATCTAAAAATACTATCAGATAGCCCTTATAAAGTGTCTATGAGAATGTGCAATTAGTTTTTTGATTTTCTTAAAAGTAACGACAGGAAAAATTAAAATTTATTTTCAAAAAAATTCATTTTTTCCAAAAAACTCAGCAATCCTTTAAATTTTTAAAACCTTTTTGATGGCATCTTGGTGAACATCCCAAAGCGCAACTTTACCCCAATTTAACCATGTTCGTATCTATTACGGTTACCGAGATACCAATGCTCGTACCCCGAATTTGTAGCACCCTGTATACATAAAATACATAAATATTTAATTTTTTAACTCTATTTCTTGATATTTGTATTAGTACAGGGTATTGAATTAGTTCTATAGTAAAAATATAGTCTAATGGGCCCTGTTTGAAAAACATTAAATTAAATATAATATTTAACTTATTAATTCGCCGATGAAAATACGTAAAGGCATATCTAGAATTTTGACGAAATTTAGATAGATCCGCCAATGCACATAAATTTAAATGTTCTTCAAGTTGTGACGTTAAGGCGTATCTCTAAAACGCACTGTTCGCTTATGGAAAATAAAAAGTTAAGGGCGTTTTGTTAACCGCATAACGTAAAGGCGTATCTGAAATAATGTGCTAAAAAAACCTTTATAGTACATTTATCAATAATTTTTATCGTTTGTCTTATTAATCTTGCCTTGAGTTAAATAACCTCCAAAAATGAATCTCCCAGTTTTAATACTCCGAGACTTATGTTTAAAATAGTAGAGTCATTTTTCTTAAAATCGCTCTCCTGAAACATCGTTAAAAACGAGTTACGCCTTTACGTATTTTCAACGGCGAATTATATTGATTAAATTACTTTTTTTACTAAAAAACTAATTTAATCAACAAATAACAAGTGGTTGTAGAAAAACATTAAATATGATTTTTTTATTTTTTAACATCGAAACTCGAAGGTATAATAAAAAAACTATACTAAAACCACAGTGAACATATAATCTTATATGTTCTCTGTGGTATATACAGGGTGTCCAAGACTGAGCGTGCATTAGAAGTTTCTAGAGAACTACAATATCTAGATCGGAGATTTTTTGCACATCATTGTTTCACAACGAGATCTATCAATTAAAAATATTTTCAATATGAAAGAAAGAAAGAAAGAAATTGCTTTATTGTCATAAAAAAATTTTACAATTTTGTTGACAAAGCTTAAAAAAAAAGAATATAAAAAACATACAAAACTTCACTTAACAATAGAAAAACATATAAAACTAACAGCAAACATACAAAACTAAAACAATACTTTATACAATTATAGAAATTGGACGAAAAACTGTCAATAATTTGTATATAGCCTAAAGGTCACGGAAGATGCCAGTATATGAAGCACAAGTGGGGAATATCAGACGATGCTAGCTGTGATTGCGGGCACCAACAACAAACAACATTTCATATTGTCACAGAATGCCCCTTGCGAAAATTTCCGGGAACAATGTCTGACATACATGAAGCTTCCGAGGAGGCAGTTGACTGGATGAAGAAGGCTATAGGAAGGCACTAGACATCCACCTTTAACCCACCACAGTCACTTCATCAAATTTTATTTTATTTCGTAATTTTTATATGTACATATATTTTTTGTTTTTATATTGTATTGTTCTTGTTTGGACTTCATGTTTGATGACAACACGTGTGTGTGTGTGGTTGTGTGTATGTTTTGTTATTGTTTATATTGTGAATAGTATCCTTTGCTGCCATACGAAATATATAATATATTAGAGAGATATCGGAAAACCGAATAGCGTCATCCAGTATTTACGCGTACCTTATCATGGTTACGATATGCGCGAGTCAATTTTTAACGCAACACCCGCTAATAACGTTACCGCCTGACGAAATTTGCGGATCAATTGCACCAAGCCCTCTTTCTAAATAACCTCTAATAACTTTTAAAAATTGCTTAACTGGGCATGTGCGGTTATTTGACAACCGGAGCCGGCCGGCGAGATCTTTTATTTTAGGCAGAGTTTTAGGTTATGTTTGAATTGTTTTGAATTATTGCTTTAGTTTTATTAAGTACTTGATATTAAAATAGCTGGGTTTAGTTTTAATTAAATAAATATGGCCCAAAATATGGATTCCACCTCTTCCAATACTAAAGAACCTATAAAGAGTCTTAGGTTTACAGCAGATGACGACTTAGCCCGTCTAAGAGAATTTGTTGCTTGTTGCCCTAAACCCACTGGCAGACGTTGAACATTAAAGCACTGGAAATAAGCACTTTAGTCCTTTAGTTTTAAAATACCTAGTAAACAAAACAATTTCAAAGTTAGCTTAAGTTTAAATAGCGGACGCGACGCGATCAGAATTCTTTCCGATCCGATAACTATAAATGAAGAGAGTTAATACCACCTCACGTAAAGGAAATAACACCTGACCTTATCTGGCCATATCATATTATGACACTGTGTTCAAAAAGCTGTATGTTATCGATCATTTCCAGGCCAACTTTGCGTTGTTTTTTTTCGATCATACGGTAATATTATTAATAATATCAACTATTAGATATCACTAAAGAGCGAAAATACGAGATATATTTTTATAAATACACTTTTTAAACTCTTAAGGCAGGCAGTATTTATAATATAGGAAATTCAAATAATTCGTTTTCTGACAGATGGAAATAAATTGTTTGACCGTTTGACACTTAATGTCAAAGGAAGCTTGGATTTATTTTAGGTATAGGAACATGTATAGTTAAAAAGTAACAAATTGAAAAACCGTTTCATTAGTGAAATAAAAAAGTAGGTTTCCATTTGAAAAAAATTATTTATGATAATTTTTTAATCACTCGATTCCATGACAGCTACCGCCATTATTATATGACATTTGAACAATTTAATTGTTGAAATAGATAGCCACATGTCTTCTCTTTATGTCACAGTGGCTGCGGTAATCACTAAATTTGACTTTTAGGCTATACAAAATTTTTTGACAGGTACATAGTCTTTTTCGTCCAAAAATTTTAAATAATTTTTTTTCTCAAAAACGGTTAACGTTAGTGTTTAACATCAATACTCATAGAATTTTACAGAGAATTTAAGGATGTAATAAAAAATGGGGGCACCCATTTGAAATTTTAACGAAGCATCTATTATAAGTAATATCCAAAAACATACAATATCAACAACAAATATCGTGGAACAAGCCTATTATTTATATTGATTTTTTTAAATATCTATTTGAGTTCAAATGATCCGGCAACACTGAACACTGATAATATTTTAGATAGATGGAGCAAATGCCTTTATGTAAAAATCTAAATTTTCATAAAAATCCTGTCACCAGTTCTCCATAAACGTCTAACCTACCGTGGCCGTGAATCACCCTGTATACCGGGTGCGTCTCAAATGTGGCTCACCCCTATAACTTTTTTATTTTTTTTAGATAAAAAACGAGATTTGGTATGTTAGTATACAACATAAATTAGGATTGATTGGACGTATTCAATTGTTTTTGGTCACTTCCCGTTTCACCGGAAAAGACTACAACTTTTGATTTTTAAATCACCCTCCTTATCCTCACCATAAGCACCCTCGGTATTTTTTTTACTTTATATTAAGATATAATGTCAACTTATGACATTTTCTCATATGGTTTATTTGAAATTGTAACATGCGGTTCATAACGACAATTTGACTCGAAATACCAAGTTTTATGAAATACCAAGTGTGTGGTAACAAATTATTAGTAAAAAATGCCTTTTTTAAATATCCCGATGAGCCATCTTCGTTCCATTTCCGCGAGAAAAGGACATGAAAAACATTGAGCGACATATCATATGTAATTCTATTCAGAGTGTCATTTTCTATCAAATAAAGTAAAAAATATCGAGGGTGCCATTTAAAAATCAAAAGTTGTAGTCATTTCCGGTGAAACAGGGAGTGACTAAAAACAATTGAATACGTCAATCCTAATTTATGTCATATACTAATATACCAAATCTCGTTTATCTGAGAAAATAAAAATGTTGTATGGTGAGCCACTTTTGAGACGCACCCGGTATTAATGTATATACGGTATGCTTTTATACATTCCGTATATGTATACGGCCCCTAGCACAATCCCATTGGTCAGATTTGAATTTTAAACCAATTAAACTCCGAGTGCCATACGCGAGTATGGAATGTACGACAGTGCCATGCGCACTTCGGAATGTACCTGGTAATTATGATAGCAGCAGAAAGTAACGCCTAGCTATAGCTAATCTTGCAAGAGTAGCTGTGGCTCCGTGACTGAGGCCATCGCTTCGTGAACGAGAGGTCCGTGGTTCAAATCTTACGCCGGACTATAACTTTTTTATTTTTTTTACAACTGTTTTTATTTTTAAAAAAAAAAGCTGTAAATATTTAATAGCAATCAAAATACGGATTGCGTTGGTTTCACTCTTTTTGGTGGGGTTAGATTGATTATTTGGTGGAGTTAGTTGCGATGGTTAAGATGGTTATTTGGTGGGGTTGGTTTGGTTTTGGTTGGGATGCTCTATAACAAAGCGTTAATAGTAATGTCTAAAATATACCTTTTCTGCTGCAGCATAACTACTAGGTAAATTCCGTAAGTACAAATGGCACTGGAGCACTATGGAGTTTAATTGGTTTAAAATTCAAATCTGACCAATGAGATTGTGCTAGGTGCCGTATACATGTACGGAATGTATAAATGCATACGGTATACACATTTATAAATGATCGTTGTTTGTCAATATAATTCAAAAGTAAGTTTTTTCTGTCAATTTTTAGATGTCCGTGTCGAAATTGTTCCTTTTCTCGTTGTGGATAAACTTATAACTTCCCCACGATCACTAATATCATCCACAATACCACGTTAAAACGATCGTGAAAATAAAAAAAATCTATATAATCTTACTTCATTTGTGTCATTAACTATGGGCAAGTGTCTCAATCCAAGGCCTCTGAAGAGTCGGAATGTTCTTGATAGTGACGTAGACTGCAAAAAAAAACATTTTTTTTGAATGTCAGCTATATTTTTATAACGTGTTTGCTTTCATGAGTTTTCCGTCACTAAAGAGAAAACTTATCTGTTTTTAAGAAACAACAACATGCATTATAAAGTAGAATTTTATACTTTTTATTAATTATATGTTCAAAAAAATTAAAAATGCCAGTAACTATGAAAAGAAACATTAAAAAATACGTTATAAAAAATATCCATCTAATGAATGATGTTACTTATAATAATAATTGCAGTTGAAGAGTGTCTGGTACAAACAGGTTAAGAGCCATTTAAAAAAACTGCTTTGTTGCATAAAAATATCCTAAATGCCGTAGGACGTTTCCTCAAAACATCCCATCTTAACTGACGAAGACGTAAAATACTTGCATTAGTATACTTAAATAATATGTACAGAAGACGATATTAGATGCATCCCTCCTTAGAAATTTCGTTCCGGGCTGCATCTTGAACATTTCTGTTGCTGTAGTCTGGACGATTATAGTCGTATAAACATAGTTTTGACTCAATTAATTCGACAAAGTTAGAAATGTAAAAAAACAGTATCATAAGACGCTGAACTGACGCTTCCGGCCTGAATGCCTCGACGCGACGCTCGGCACTCTCAGTCTGAATGTACCTTGAATCAGAAATTCATACATACGTGTAAAACTGTATAAGGAGAAGGGTTCATAAATGGTCTTAAATCAATAAAGTATGTTTTTTCTTCTTCTGTCAAGGAGATTTCCTGAAATATAAATAAAATGCTAAATAAAACTACATACTATACAATTGAATACCTAAAAACTTACACTTATTTCGAGATATCTAGGATACTGATCCCTAAATACTTCTGCTGTGGTATGTTCCCATTCATCACTAATTTCATTAAATAATTTTTTATTTAATATAACTAGCAATTGTGATCGAAGTATTAAACCTCTAATTCTTCCATATGTTGTTACTTCTTTCTACATAACATAAAAAATAAGCATAGATAATACATTACTCCAATAGCAGATTATATAATATTTTAAGTCTAAAACGGCCTCTACACTACCCGCAAAGTAAGCCGAAGTAGGTCAAGGTTGAATAGTAAAGAAGGTTATTTCGTGCTAACTTTGTCTCGTCTCGGCCCATTTTTATTAGACGAGAAAATACGAAATAACTTCACACAAATAATCTCCTTCACTCTTCGAATTTGACCTACTTCGGTTACTTTGCGGGTACTGTACAGACAGTTTAAAATTAATTATTATACAGGATGTCCCAATATTCCGCGGACATAGAACTACTACGTATTTTTGCAATCAAAATAAGTCCACTGGACACAGTAGGGTCCTTGAACGTGTCGGGTATAATTTAAATATTTATACATTTTTACCTAAAACATATATGTACAGGGTGTCCCACTAAGAATAGCTCTCGGCTGTATCTCCGAAAGTATTAGCCGTAGCGGCTGCGGAAAAAAATATTTCTAACTAAAGAGGCTATGGAAAATTGCTGGAAATTATTTTCAAGTTTGTAGAACGACCGCTAAGGGGCGCAACTGCAACAAAAAATAAGCAAATGGAGTTTTTACACAATTTTGCCTAGATAAGGTGTACTATAAGTAACAGCTTCATAATCTTCAGGAAATTTTGAATATTTTTTGTTAGTCATTTTCCCCTATCTACCAAAATAAAGTGGTGGGGGGAGGTCAGATCTGTTTTTATTTGAATATTAATAACTCTGGACTGGATGATCGGAATCCAACAAGCGAGAGCTCGTTTAAAAGAACGTTTCTTACTCTATATTGCACCATATAAACAATAATAATAAGCTTTTGGACGTAGACGCTAGGGGGCGTTGTCTTACAATTTAAGAAACATTGCGCGTTTTTGCAAAAAAATGAAATGCAATAGTAAATGTAATTTTAGCTGATAGTAAAGAGTAGTAAAAGCTTAAAAAGTCAGCGAAAACCGCATCTTGATATCTTCTTTCCAACCGAAGATATTAGCAAAATTATAATAAATACGAAAAAATAAGCCCTTAATTACCTTATTTTTACAACACGGTATCAGTAGCCCTCTTGATTATGGCCATTCTAACCTAAAAATAAGATAGAAACAGTTAGTTTATTTTAAAATCGACGATATACCCGAATATCATAATATCAGATGTATTGATATCTAATAATTAAGATAATAATAGTGAACAAGAAACGATGATTCAGTGAAGTCATGGTAGGCTTTGGAAAAAAGTTGCTTTTGCTTGTAAATCAAAACCTTATTATTATTATTTTTATGGTATAATATAGAGTAAGAAACGCTCTTTTAAACGAGCCCTCGTTTGTTGGATTCTGATCATCCAATCCGGAGTTATTAACATTTAAATAAAGATAGATCTAACCTTCCCTCGCCACTTTATTTTACCAGATAGGGGAAACTGGTCCTAACGAAAAAAATCCAAAATTTACTGAAGATTATGAAGCTATTATTTATAGTACCCATTATCTAGGCAAAATTCTGTAAAAAATCTATTTTCTTATTTTCCATAGCAGTTGTGCCACCTAGCGGCCGTTTTACAAACTTGAAAATAATTTCCAGCAATTTCTCATAGCCCCTTTAGTTATAAATATTTTTTTTTCGTAAGCCCTACGGCTAATACTTTCCGAGATACAGTCGAGAGCTATTCTTAGCCGGACACCGGGTATATGTAAAATCAGTTTGTACAAATTCCATCTGGAAAGTACTTAAATTAATGATTGAAATTCATTGAAATTCGCTTGGCGCGAAAACGAGGCGTGACGTCAAAGATGTTAACATTATCGGCTCACAGTGGACGCATTCCATTTAAATAAAGCGTTGCACTTTGTTTAGAATTATGACAGAACCAGTGTTGCCAGAATTGCAGGATTTCCTTCAATATGAACAATACAGTCAAATCTCGTCGATTGAAGGGCCATTTTTTAAGAATTTTTATCCAAAAAGAAGACAATATGAAGGTTTCTGGCAGCTTTGCACAATAAAAATTGTTAAAATATTAGGCGTATTTATTGTTATATCCTACATCTATTTTTTCACTTTAACGGTGTTTAATTAACGATGAAGTTAAAAGCAATTCAAAAAGTCCACAGTTCGAAAGATTTTAACATTTAACAAAAAAATAATAGATACATTTTTATCTTTCAACACATCTTATTACACACATACCATAACTAAACCAAAATTCTTGACGTTGAAAAGAAATAAATAGGTAAACGGAAAACATAAATATCTAATAAGTCAGCTGATTATGGCGTCTTGATTAATTATTTTAGATTCGCAGCCATTGTAAGAAATGAATTTTTTGAGACATACTTTATAATACTGCTGTCGAGTATCTATCACAGCATTTTTGATCATGTTATTTTTTAATAAAAAAATATATAAATACATCAGTGTATCAAAATTACCAGAAATAAGTTTTTAAAAATGTTCTTCTTATTTTTTAATAAAAAAATATATAAATACATCAGTGTATCAAAATTACCAGAAATAAGTTTTTAAAAATGTTCTTCTTATTATAAAATAAGTAAAATACACGAAATTTGGTGATTTTTTACAAGATTTGGATTTTTTTGTGAAGTTGAAGGAATATGAAAGGTTTTTAACGCTCTGTTGAAGAAATTCGCTCGAAAATATTTGACAACACTGCTCTTCTCTATTTAGAAGAGCAGACTTTATTACAGACGCATACGTCAAGTATATTCTGTGGCCTGTGGCATATGCGTCAAACGAACGTCAATCTCATCAATCTGCAATTTGTAAATCGTCGAGATCTAAATAAAAGTCGATGAAATTCGATAAAAATAATCCATAAAGAAGGCAAATAACAGTTAAAATAGGTAAAAAAGTTTTAACGATGGTATTGATAATTATATCAATTAATATTAATTAATGGTATTTTATTACAGGTTATGGAAGAGAAATACGTATAGGTAGATAGAATCAGATAGAATAGTGAATGTGAAATTTCTAGATAAAATATTAACAGGTAGTATTGTATTTAAAGGTATGAATTGAGATAATTAAATGCTAATTATTTATTTAACCTATAGTTTTCTTTAAATATATTCATATACTTACTGTTAATGTTAAAAATATTCATGGCATATGAATAAGGGCAAAAACATTCAGGAAATTATTATTTAATAGAAAATAAGAGGGATTTTATGTAAACCTTTTTTATTTGACGTTTTCATACGTAATAATCTGTTTGAGTTTAAAAGAATTTTACAGAATCTATTTTGTTAGTTTAAAAAAACAATGAACATGAAACGGATGAAACAGTAGAAACCACCGGCGCCGAACACCAGTCCAATTTTATGATTAAAAATGCTTGTTCAGTGACGAAGTATAACTTTATAAAATCAATCAAAACACATATAGCAGGACTATTTTTATTCACATAGGCCTGTTGACAAGTGGTAAACATAAATCGTGTACCTACTTATACCTATTTACTTTTGCTCCTCTAATTTTGGCAGAAGTAAACAAAACATTCTGTGAAAAATAATAAGCGATCATCGTCGAATCTACTTTCCGTAGATTGTCTGTGCTTTATTATAATCCGGTTCTGTCATAATTCTAACAAACTGAAACACCCAGTGATATCGAAATAAATTTGAAAAATATCTAAATAAATTAGAAATTATTTAGATGTCAAATGTCATTGGGAAGAGCTTATTAAAATTTAAATGGAATGCGTTCGCTGTGAGCCGATAATTTTAACATCTTTGACGTCACGCCTCGTTTTCGCGCCAAACGAATTTCAATAAATTTCAATCATTAATTTAAGTACTTTTCAGATGGAATTTGCATAAACTAATTTTACATATATATGTGTTAGGTAAAAATGTATTAGAAATCATATTTAAATTATACTATTTATTATATTAATCCCCCTAATATAATTAGGGGGATAAGGGATCGGACTCAACAAATTTAACATCAAGCGATCTAAAAGTCAACCTCACCTGCACGAGGGGGTAGATTAAAACTACCCTGGTATCCCCTGCTAGATAACAGACGAGGCTCTGGCGACCGAGTAAGGGGCGGGATAACCCCACAACCATATCAGAGAAATTGCGGAAATGCATTTCCCACAAAACTCGCCAACACGCAAGGCAAGCGCGGCGTTTTAATGCCAAAACCCTCCACTAAATATGAAATATCACAAACTAAAATAAATATACCCCAGGTGACGATACGATACGTCCAAAATCTCACACTGATAACATATCAGTCTGTCTCATGGATTCTGGGGGAGACAAGCTCGCGACATCCAAAACAACACGGAAGCGAAAATGCTCTCGAGTTTTCAAAATCGCCACATACAACGTTAGAAGCTTATCAACGGAGGAGAAACTATTGGAACTCCAAGAAGTATTAGATAAAGTTAATTGGGACTTTATTGGAATGAGCGAAATTAGAAGACGAGGCGAAGCATGGACTACACTCAAGCCAGGACACATTCTCTACCATATAGGCGAAACGGACAACTCAATAGGTGGTGTAGGCTTCTTGATAAATAAAAAGCATGCTTCAGATATTTTAAGCATCGCAAGCGTTTCCAAGCGCGTAGCATACGTAATATTCCGCCTAAACAGTAGACTTACAATGAAAATTATCCAAGCCTATGCACCAACATGTACAGCCGAAGAAGACGAAATAGACCAATTTTACGAGGACATCGATAGGGCAATTACAGTTCCTGGATGTAGTCAAACCTTTCTTATAGGAGATTTTAATGCCAAGGTTTCGAAACGAATGGATGAAGCTGAGGAAATGATGGGTCCATTTGGAATGGGAGTCAGAAACAATAGAGGCAGTACTTTGATCAACTTTCTCTCGCAACATCGACTATACTTAATGAATAGCTTCTTCAAGAGAAAAAAGAACACAGAAGATGGACTTGGATAAGCCCGGATGAACAAACAAGAAACGAAATTGACTTCATCATTTCGAATAAGAAAGAAGTAGTAACAGACGTGACGGTGCTGAATAGTTGTACAATAGGACGCGACCACAGAATGGTTAGAGCGACGGTTAGGATAGACTTGAAAAGAGAAAGGTCAAAGATGGTTCGACAAAACAAAAATACTAAATGGAACCCCCCTAACAGTGACTCCAACTATGCAGATTCCGTTACAGCTTTCCTGGAAGAACGGACCTTAAACAGTCAACACGATATTGAAAATATAAGTAGCAATATTGTTGAAGCCATTAAAGAAGCGGAAGTACAACACTGCCAACAAATTAATAACCAACAACAAAAACTCACCCAAAATACAAAGAATATGATATCTTTGGTGAAAAGAAATGTTAAACAAAATAACAGAAACTCTGAAGACCTGAGACAATTGAACAAAACAATATCTAAAGAAATCAGAAAGGACGTAAGAAAATTTAATACAGATAATATAAGGCGAACTATAGAAGAGAATAAAAGTATGAAGGTGTTGCGGGAAAACTATCAAATGGAAAGAGAGAGATCTTTAAACTAAAAGACAACCAAGGGTCGTAACAAGAAATAGAGAAAGGCTGTTGAAAATAACAGAAAACTTTTACACTGAACTATACACAAGTAATCACCAACAAACATACAACAGTCAACAACGTCTGTGCAAAAAGATAGTTAACCAGGGATCAGAGGATATACCGGAAATAACTACAGAAGATATCAGAAAGTCTTTAAAAGAAATGAAAAATAAGAAAGCCCCGGGCGAGGACGGCATAGTGATTGAGGCTGTAAAACTCGGAGGAAGAACACTATTAAAATGGATTAAAGACTTATTTAATCTATGCCTTGAAAAAGGAATAATCCCGTCTCAATGGAACAACGCCATAACGATACTTCTCCATAAAATTTGTCACTTGTATAAGCTGTTTACCAAAATCATTGCCAAACGTCTCGAACGTAAACTAGATTTCTATCAACCAAGAGAACAGGCAGGCTTTAGGAAATGTTATGGAACAAACGATCATCTTCAAGTAATTAAAGTCCTGATAGAAAAATCTGTGGAATACAACAGGCCCGTGACATTGGTGTTCGTTGATTTCCAGAAAGCATTTGACACAGTAGAATTAACATCAATAATAGCAGCATTGGAGCAGGGAAGAGTAGATTATAGGTATTCAAGGCTTATAGAATACATATATAGTAATGCCACCACAACTGTAAAACTTCACGAAACAACAGATAAAATTGAGGTAGGCAGAGGAGTTCGACAAGAACATACTAATTCGCCTAAACGACATACAGGAAACCTTGAATACGCACAAATCATCTCTTGGGAGACGAGGGGCATAAAAATCGATGGTGAAAACCAAACACATCTCAGATACGCAGAATGGTTTCGTCCTTGGGCAGATAACATCGGAGATTCAAAGTGAGATGCTCGAAGAATTAGTGAAGGAAAGTCATTGAACAGTGCGTCTTGCCGGATAAATACGAGTAAAACGCAAATAATGACAAACTTAGTGCTGACACAGAACATCAGAATAGGTGACGCCGACATAAAAGAAACACATATATACAAATATCTCGGGCACGAAATACAAAAAATCGAAAGAACAACCAAACACACGAGATACAGCGCAGAATAGGTTTGGGTTGGGCAGCTTTTGGCAAACTGCGGGAGACCTTTAAAAGTGATATACCCATATGCTTGAAGAGGAAAGTTTATGAACAATGCGTCTTGCCGGTAATTACATATGGAGCGGAAACTCTAACATTAACGAAAAAGTCAGCAGAAAATTTAAGAGTAGCCCAGAGAGCCATGGAGAGACCCATGCTTGGAATAACTAAAAGAGACAAAATTCCTAATAACACTATCAGACAAAAAACCAAAATTAAAGACATAGTGGAACACGTAACTCGAATGAAATGGAGATGGGCAGGTCATGTGGCGAGAACATCTAAAGACAGGTGGACTAGAAGATTGTTAGAATGGCGACCTCGAGCAGATAAACGTAGCAGAGGCAGACTACCGACACGCTGGACCGATGATGTAAAGAGGATTGCTGGAAATTGGATGATGAAGGCTCAAAAACGAGAGACATGGAGAAATATGGAGGAGGCCTACGTTCAGCAGTGGACAACGATGGCTACATGATGATGATTTATTATATTACGGGATGATTCAAGCTTCCGAAAAAGCTCTATATTAGGTTTTTGGTTTGTGGATTTCATTTTAAGTTTTTTACATCATATGGGGGCAATGGCAACGCACATTTTGAAAATATTTTTGTCAACATACAGGATGATTCAAACATATTTTCAAACCAAAATTGTATATTTTTAAATGGAATACTATATATTTTTTAGCTCAGTAGATCCCTCCTCTAAATTTCCGTTTCAAAAATACCAATATATAAATAAAAAATGCATTCTGATTTGTAAAGTATTTTTTTTATATTGATTACGCGGATTCAGAACCGTGGCCTTCAGCCGTAAGATGTCCTACCGACTTGAAAGTGTCGGCACCAAAAAATGGCACCCGCTTCGATTTTCGATACAATCCAATTCGAGCGATGATTAGAGTGTACATATTTTTGTAACGGTGCATAGCTTTATAATTACTTGGAATGAAAAATATATAAAATTGTGGGTTCAAAACAAAAATCTAACGTATTATTTACCTGATCAGTTAAAGGTGGGTCCACAACGGGAAATCCATTATATGTTGTCAATTTTAATAATTCTAGAATGTGTCCGACATTTTCTACGCATTTTAACGTCACTACAGGATGAGACATTACTTCACTAGCGTATATATTCCTGACTAATGGCGGTGGTTCCCATGGCAACAAAGGTACTCCAGATAGTTGTATTAACGTGTCATAAATGCCCTGAATTAAATGAGATGATAAAATATCGACGGTAAAATATCGAAGTCCGGGGAGAGTATATGGCAGTATCAGTTTTTGTGTACCTACCATTATCATTTTAATTCAAAAATAAATTGTATTTACTGTCAGATTTTGTTTACGGTGAATTTTTCAATAGCTTGATTTGTAGTTGAGCCTGCATTGCCCACAGTAGCCAATGTGTTTGTCTTTCTTTTTTTTTACGAATTCTTGAAGATTCAAAGTAACTTATTGTTTGTTTATTAGAATAACTGACCCAGCGGAAATTAAGTGTGTAAACGATCTTTCAAAAATCCCCTTATCATTTGAAGAAAAACAATTTGCACAAGAAGAACGGAAGCTTTATTCCTGTTCTTCATATAAACTACATTTCCACAAGTAAAATCCGGACTTGCAATAGAATATTCAACCGGAATATTTCTGTGACAGCGAACAATTTATATTCTTTTACAAAATTTTACATCCATCTGAACTCTGAAGGTAAATACAAGCATAATTATTGAATACTTAGAAATCTAATTAGAAACCAAATTGTTTAAAATAGGGCCAAAGTACAAAACTTACTTCATTAAAGAAATCTCCAGTCCATTTAGCGGCTATGAGGGTAATAATCAATGGCAGCGCAAAAGTTATATTTCCGGTGCATTCCATTAAAATGACTGTCAAACTGATCGTCATTCTGACGACGCCTCCTAGCTGCGCCGCTGCCCCGATCAGAGCGTACTTCCCTGGATGAATAATATTCTGAAATTAGACAATTACTAATTAATTTGTATTGATCCAGTTAATGTAATTATATCTATAATTGCATTTTAGAGATGGGTTGTTATTTAATTATCTGTTATTTTATAACAGCTATTTAGAAATAACTTAACGCAACCGTTGCACACTGGATCGACCCAATGCAATTTGCTGGCATGCAAAATTTCTAACTTAAAACATTTTTTCGAATATATGTCTTATATTAGTGTATCACAAAAAAATAAATTTTAATCTTGAGTTTTAAAAAAATGCTTAAATATGCATCAACTATTTTTATATCTGTTATTGAGGTTAAAGGTTCCTTAAAAGAAATATAAAAAGATTTACTGCCACTAGGTGCCCCTTTGGAAAATATACAGGGTGGCGCATTAGTACGAGAAAGTCCAATATCGTCGTTGACAAAGATATGAAAAAAAGTTCTAGACAGATGTTGTATGGTTTAAAATGGTGCATATTCTAAAAAAAAATATTTTGTTGCATACAGGATGTCCCAAAAAAAGTTATGATAAAGCTTTAAGTTTTTTTTTAAATTGCACCCCCAATTTTTCTGTACAGGGTGGGTCAAATTGGACGCTTTTAAATGGAAACACCCTTTTCTATAGGAGATAGACGAAAACTAGTATCGGTGTCTGGAGCTCAATTTTCATCAAAAACATGATAGTGAAAACCGCACAATAATCAGTTATCGTTACAATATATGTTACCGTTTCGGGGTGTTTATTATTATTTATTATTACCGCGAGTTACGGGGTGTTTTTCAAAAATGTGCATTTTTAACAAATCGCTGTAACTTTTTTGCTATGGAAAATTTTGTATTTCTATGAAAACATTTCCAAAGCACCTTTTTACGTAGAATTTAATGGTTTAAGTATAATTTTTTTAAAATTAATAATTTAAGAGTTATCAACAGAAAAATTGATTTTTTATTTGGGACACCCTCTATATTTTTAATTAACTGAAAATAATTTAAAATTACCCTTCCAAAAATATAGCACACTTGATATTTTGTTATAATCCCCTTCGAAATACATACAGTATAATTTCGGCAATCCGTACACCTCGTAAACCGTACACTCCAGTCAATCGGACACCCGCTACAGTTCGGAGATTTTCAGATTTTTACCTTCTGTAATTCGGACACTGCTAAAAAGCATGACAAATTACAACGGCTAAATGCGAAAAAGTATACTAGTATGTATACATATGTAAAGAAATATTTTTATACATGCAGCGGCTTGTCCAGTCGAGTCGTACGTAGTATTTATTTGGCGCCGAGTGTTAGACCACGTGTAAAAAATGACTCCAACGAAACGCGTCCATTGATCTGCTACTATTAAAGAGAAGTGTAAAATTCTTGACAGTTTAGATGCAGGTGGTGGTGTTCAGCATGTTGCGAAACTTCTCAAGATACCAAAATCAACAGTATCCGATATAAAGAAGAACAGAGTGAAGATTCGAAATTTTGTTGCAAGGTCGTACACTGATATAGGTAAGTTTTATGAATAAATGCTGGGTTTTGAGTTTGCACTAAAGATATGTAATGTTTTTTAGGCCAGAGAAAAGTTATGAAAAAGCCCGAGAATCCTGATGTGGAAGAGGCGTTATACACTTGGTTTCTACAGCAACGTAAAAATCACATTCCTGTCTCTAGTGAAGTCTTGCGCACAAAAGCCAGATTTTTTTATGAGTGCATCACTGGAAAGACTAACTTTCAAGCTAGTTCAGGATGGCTTGACAAATTTAAGGCAAGACGCGGCATTCGTTTTTTAAAAGTATGCGGAGAACGTGTTTCAAGTGACGCTGAAGCAGTTGCTCCTTTCCAACTTAAACTGCAAGCCCTGATTGAGAAAATGCAATTAACTAAAGAGCAAGTCTACAATGCGGATGAATCCGCACTTTTTTGGAGGGTTTTGCCAAACACAACGTGGGTGCATAAAGATGAGAAATCGGCACCAGGGAGGAAAGTTTCAAAAGACCGTGTAACCTTTATGCCATGCTCAAATGCATCAGGCACACATAAGTTGCCGTTACTTGTGTTAGGTAAATCTAAGAACCCCCGAGTTTTCAAAATGCACAGTTGCCTGTGAAATACGAGGCTAGTACCAAAGGATGGATTACCCGAAACATATTCTCTGAGTGGTTTAAAACAATCTTTGTTCCTGAAGTGAAACAATATCTGAGTAACGCCAATAAGCCAGCAGGGCACTGCTTCTTGTTGACAATGCGCCTTCACACCCACCCGAAGAAGAGCTCAATACGAATCCAAATTTCATAGTGGTATTTTTGCCTCCTAATTGTACTGCATTAGTTCAGCCAATGGATCAGAACTTGATACAAAATATCAAGGTTTCTTACAGAAGGCAATTGCTGACCCACATTATATCACAAGAAAACAAAGACACAATGCAACTGCTGAAGAAATTTAGTCTTCTGGATGCAGTGAATACTCTCGACTCTGCTTGGAAGTCCATAACCGAAAAGAATATTCAAAAAAGCTGGGATGGAATATGGCCTCAATTGGTGTCAGATGAAGAAGATGATATTTTGCTGGCCGATCTAAGAAAAAGCCTACTTGAAGAAGCTGCGAAACTCAACGACTTGAAAAAAATGTTAAAAGTTATAGATCCGGAAAGTGAACTGAATGATGAAGAAATAAGAAACTGGGCGACAGGAAGAGACGAAATAGATGTTGATTATGTTGGCGACGAGGAAATAATTGAATCGGTACAATCAAACACAAACGATGAAGAAGAGGAGGATGTTATTGACATTCCTACAAAAATCAAACACATAGAAGCAGTACAGTGTTTTTCAAAATGCGTGCAGTGGGCAGAATAAAACAAATTGAATTATCAAGAAGTCCTTTTATTGAAAAAAAAATTAGAACTATCAAGAAAGCTTCACAATGAGAACCTTATTGATGATATGCCCTTAATGGAACTCGAAAACATATTTTTCCAGCAAGACGACGCACCGCCTCTGAACGCTGAAGTTATCAGCAAATTTTTGCAGCCAATTTCAATAATAATTGAATAGCTAACCAAGATCCCAGCCGTTGGCCGTCGAGGCCGCCTGACTTAGGATGAATCTAATCCTATAGATATATTTGCGGGAGAATAAAGGTTCCTTATTCTTCCGTATAATCTAGACAAGAATTAGAAATACTTAGCAGTTATGAGAGGGTATCTTTCACCCTCCTGAGTTAATGAATTCCGCGAGAAATGTTCAAAAACTGCCCCGTCTGTCCATAACAGAAGACGGTTGATATATCGAACACCTGTAGCAAAATCTCATGTCTTGGTTTGCTATTTATTTTTATTGTTATGAGATATAGTTTAAATGTGTTGATGTTGGTTAAATATATTTTAAATTGTTATAAAATTCTGCATCTCTCATAGCAAATATTATTTTCGTTTTAATTGATGATCACAGCTAGAATTTTTTTGCATTACAGCCGATGCCGTTCAAAGCCTACTTATTTAAAGCGGGCGAATTTTTATATACTCTATATCTCGAAGAGGAATCGAGCAAAATATCAAGTGTGTTATATTTTTGGAAAGGTAGTTTTAATTTTTTTTTCAATAAATTAAACATATACGGGGTGTCCCATATAAAAAATCAAATTTCCTGTTGATAATTCTTAAATTATTAATTTTACAAAAATTATACTTAAACCATTAAATTCTACGTAAAAAGGTGCTTTGGAAATGTTTTCATAAAAATACATAATTTTCCATAGCAAAAAAGTTACAGCGATTTGTTAAAAATGCATATTTTTGAAAAACACCCCGTAACTCCGAAACGGTAACAGATAACGATATGCGGTTTTCACCATCATGTTTTTGACAAAAACTGAGCTCCAGACACCGATATTAGTTTTTGTCTATCTCCTATAGAAAAGAGTGTTTCCATATAAAAGCGTCGAATTTGACCCACCCTGTACATAATTGAATATAGCATACAATTTTGCATATATTACCTCATCTTCATCTGATTCACGTAAAATATACAGGGTATATACAGGTCCATTTAAAATAAACCAGTTATTGTGCCGTTTAAAGCTAATAAATATTTAAAATAAATTTATAGATACTCTGTATGAGGTAGTATTATTTTTATTACTGCAACGCAAAATCTAGTAAATACAAAAACTTCGGTACAATATTTGGTTTTAAAAACATAAAAATGCCTAGAGAAATAAAGCATTAAAATTGTTAGTGTTTTTTTCACAAAATCGTAAATATTTCAAACACGGAAAGATTAACGTGCGGTAAACCTTAATCAAATTACCTTTATTTTAATTGTAAAAACCAATGTAATAATATACAAAGTGTTCCATTCAAAAAAAGACAATTTCAAATACTTTCGTGACATTTGAAAAAAAAAATCATTTATAAGTTTTATAACATGTCTAATTAAATTTGGATGAAAGGAATATTGCTGGTTGCTGTAGATAATTTTCTCAGGAAAAAACGTAAATAAAAAGGATTTTTAGGTCAAAAAAAGTCAAAAGGACAATTTGTTCTAAAAAAGGACTATCCTTTTCAAAAAAAAAAGATAGGTAACAACCCTAGTTCGTACGGTTAGGTTTGTATTTAATAAAGTAATTTCAGACGTCTTATTCTTATTCGTGTTTAGCGTATAAAAATGTTTATACTTTTACTTGTGCTTTACCATAAAACTTGAAGTTTGAAAGTGCCTTTTAAAAATACTAGATGTTGAAATCCTCTATAAACTGTCTATTTATTACAATACCCCAATCTCTGCAGGTTTATAAAGACTAGATAATATAGTACTGACCTTTTAAATTTAATTAGAAACTCATTTTCTGGTTGCGAATTTGATAATATTCAGTCTCTGTGTGGGTACTATTGCAGTCCAAATTGTATTCCGGAAACTTCGGCAGCATATTCTGCAGATAAAAATAAGTAAAAAAGTTCTTATAAATGTATGTCTTAAAATGCTTAGTTTCGGAGATAGAGGGTGTAGAAGTTTCATTTTCATTTAGATTTTTTCCAAATAATTTTTGAAGTGACGTCAATTTTTATATGAAAATTGCTCTCTGGGAGTTTTTTAACATGAGAAATTTGATTTTGATATCAATATGACTCCTACTTGTAGAGGGAGCCACCTACCTGTGTTTTAACTGATGTGAAGAGTAATAATTTTTCGTCCGTACCTGTATAAAACTACTGGGTAAAAAAATATACCTTTCCGTGATTTTTTAGGTAAAAAATGTCTCTTGGTAGAAATTGCTACGAGCAACCGTTCTCAAGATATTTAGAATGCAAATAGTCAATACATCTCATTATTGACAAAAAAAACATGTCGAGTAGATAGTTATTTGACTGAAATGATAAATTTGGGAACTTTTTAGGCGTCCCCTACAAGTAGGAGTCATATTGATATCAAACTCAAATTTCTCATGTCAAAAAACATCCAGACACCAATTTTCATCCAAATATTGACATTACTTCAGAAATTATTTGGGAAAAATCGAAATAAAAGTGAAATTTCTCCACCCTGTATCTCCGAAACTAAGCATTTTAGGACATACATTTATACGAAATTTTTAACTTCTTTTTATCTGCAGAATATGCTGCTGAAGTTTCCGGAATACAACTCGGGCCAACCTGTATAAAAGTATCTTTTATTGACATAATTGGAGGCCAATCAATAATTTTTCCAGTCAGCTCGATCTATTGATGATGTTGCCAGTATTACTAATCAAGCAATACTACTGTTATATTAATAAATTAAGGCCGTGTAAATAAATATATCATATACAATTTTATATACTAATTCATTATAATAAAATTAAATAATGCAGATTGAGTGAAAAGTTTTGTTCTTAAATATCTACTCTACATATTATAAACACGTGTTCAAATATTAATCTTGTGGAATATACATATATAAACATAAAACGAGATGTAATTAACGAAACATCGTAACAACAGCTATTTTAGACAGTCTAGGTTTACTTATTCTTGGATTTATGAAAAAAAATCCTTTGCCTCGGGTACAGATACCGCCACGTTTTGGAAATAGCTCAAAGCAAAACAAAATTGAACGAGGCGACAGGAAACGCCAAAAAAATCCCCCCACGCCTTCCTCACGAGTAGTTTTCAGGCACTTTTAAGAATCGAAAGTAGGCCGAGGCAAACCGAAGTGGGTCAAGACAACTGAAAATAAACCGAAATGCGACAAGGTTGGGCGACGAAATGCGACCTTGACCTGCTTCGAAGAGTTCTCCGCGGAGTGTAGAGGCTGTTTGGTTTGGTTGCGATATTGTTTTATATGTAATGGAAAAATATTTCTTGCAGTTTTTAGGTATACAATAAAATTAGATAAGCGTTTCTTGTCTTGAACTGCTAATATATAAATTTGTAGAAAGGACATTCTTATATAATAATATATCTTCAAAAATATACTTCATTATAATTGCCAAAAATAAAGATAAGGCGTTTTTGCGTTCTCACACCCCATCTCAATTGTAATTAACTACAGTTAGGATATAGCGTTTGTTAATCACAATTACAACTGAGATAGTGTTTGTGTTCTGGCGTTTATGCCGAATACGGCTGAGAGCGATGGGTTAACTTGAAAGTTAAGAATAAGTAAAAAACTTACCAAATCGGGAAATATATTGTACAAGCCGATAGAGACGAGCCTGCCCCAAGCTGCTCCTGTTAAAAGTGTGGGAATAAAGAGTCCATTAGATGACGCTAAACCAAACGTCCAAGAGGCCAGAAAGAAATAAACTATCACAAAGGCCCCTAATGAGAGAGCGTTGTGTGTATTGGGAGGATCATGAAATAATGACCTTACTGAAGCTTCAGGCGTTTGGAACCATATGCTCGCCAATACGTTATATTCGCCATCAGTGCAATATAGCTAAAAATTATAAAAAACAAATATTAAAAGACAAGGTCTATATGATAAAAATTGTAAATAGTAGCGACTAAATATAAAAATATTAATAAAAACAGTATGATTAGTATGACTTGAATTGTAAAATTATCTACACTAACTGTATAAATAGTAATTAAAAATAAATTCTAATATTCATAGATACCTGAGTAGGATATTTAGTTGGATCTTGCCCAAGGGGTCTGCAGTCATTTATTAAAAACATTAACAAGAAACCCAGAGTTGCAGTCACTATTGCTACTAAGCAAGCTTCTATAACTTTCAACCATCGCGGTCGTATGTATCTACAAAATTAAATTATTTATTGTACAAAACTTTTATTTCCTCAACCACAGACCTCATTCTAAAAACAGTTATTTTATAATTAATGTGGTTCCAAAGTGCCCCTAAAAGACCTCCTATACTACCCATTATTATAAATAAAGGTAGCTCTAACAAAGAATAATTAAAAGACTGATATTGACCTAAAGTAAACAGTCCAGGATATGACAAGTTTCCTGGTGCTCCATGATATGCAGAAAGGACGACGTTTAAGGTAAAGGTTGATATTACTGAGGCAAAAAACGTCTTCCATGTAAGACTTTGGTTCCAGAAACTTGTTCCTTCCTCTAATGAGAAAAGAACACCACCTGTAACATTATTTGTATAGATATTGATACGATAAGAAGTAAATAATATCTACCAACGGGAGCACCAAATGCTGCAGCGACACCAGCAGCGGCGCCACCAGATACAAAATCTCGCTTTTCATGGTCATCTCTAAAATATCGAAATATTTTGAAATCTTTTTTTAAAGAAGTACTCTTTCCTTGGGATATTCCAGCAGCTATAACGGCTCCACTGTGAATCATTGGCCCTTCCTTATAAACAAAAAGAATATACAGTAATATACAGGATGTCCCAATATTCCGTAGACATAGAACTACATACTACGAATTTTTGGAATCAAAATAAGTACATTGAACAAAATTTACATCTACCGGGTGCTTCTCAAAAGTTGCTTTTTATTTTTTCAGTTAAAAAAACGAGATTTAGTATGTTAGTATATGACATAAATTAGGATTGATTGACATAATCAATTGTTTTCGTTGACCTAACTTAACCTAACTTCCTGTTTCACCGGAAATGACTGATGATTTTTAAATTGCACCTTCGGTATTTTTTTACTTTATTCGATAGAAAATAACACTCTGAATAGAATGACATATCATATGTCAACTTTTGACATTTTCGCATATGGTTTATTTAAAATTATGACAAGTGGTTCATAACAACAATTTGACTCAAATATCAAGTGTGTGGTGTCAAATTATTCGTAAAAAAATGCTATGCTAAGATAAAAAACACAGAAGTATTATTTTTCGGTCATTTTTATTTTTTTATACCGTAGTATCAACTTAAAGATTGACATTTGACCCGGGGCTCATACAGTCTGACAAACGGATCTGCAACAAACGAAGCAACGGTAAGGTGATAGTTATTTTCTAAAAACATGGCCGATTTTATTCATAAAATATCCAGGAGCGTGCGGTGATTTATGAAAATGTTCAGGAATGTTTATATTTTGCAGAAAACTTTATGATAATATTTTACTTTAAATGTACCTACATTTAAATCATAGAAAGATGCAGTATCAATATTTAATACTTAAATAAAAACATTTCTTGCCATATAACATATTGTCAAGGTGTATTACTGGTTGCATAACTGCATACTGCTAAAAAATCGCAACGTGGAAGGAACCTGGCGCATTCGCCAGAAAGTAAAGAAAATTATAGAATTCTTTAGAAAAATCTAGAAACAACAGCCAGGGGGTATATAAGGCCCGCGCTTTGACAGTTGGAAGTTTAAAAGTTTGAAGTCTGAAGAAGTCTAAGTCTGAAGTTTGAAAATACCGCGAAATACCGTTAGAGTAATAGTAGTTGCATAAGTTGTGTTGTAAATAGTATAAGTTGTGTGTACAGAGTGAAACAAATAAATTCGTTAAGTATTTTATCGTGAGTTTAAATAGTGGACCCACGGAATCCGTAACAATTGGTGTCGGAAGTGCGATTCAAAGAGGATTTTTAAGAAGAAATTAAGTGGACTGGAAGATTTTTAGACCGAATTAGAGTATTTTTATGGTTGGTACAAAGGGAGCAAGCAGAAGAAAATGGAGGAAGTAAGCAAATTATTGGGCGATTTTATGGAAAATATGAGAAGAGAGAAGGCAGAAGAACAAGAAAGGCTACGTAAAGAAGGGGAGAAGAAGAGCGAGCCCGATTAGAAGAGAGAAAGAAGAGGAACAATGCCACCTTTTGAAAATACTTATGGAAAATCAAGAAAAAATCTTAGAAGGTTTAGAAGCGCGTCAAAAGAAAGAAAAACAAGAAGAACAGGACCGGCTTGAGAAAATTTTCGGAGATTTGAAATTCCAACAACAACAAGATAAACAGGAAGAACAGGACCGGCTTGAAAAAATTTTCCAAGATTTGAAAATTCAACGACAACAAGACAAAGAAGAAGAACAGGACCGGCTTGAGAAAATTTTAGGCAATTTAGAAATTCGTCAGAAGAATGAATGGAGGGAAATTTTAGAAGATATAAACGCGCCGCCAGAAAGAAAGACAAGAAGATCAGGACCGTCTTAAAGAAAACTTTGGAAAATCAGGAATTTCGACTACAGAAGAATTTTGAAGACCTGGAAAACGGCGGGAAAATCAACTTCAAGAAACCGTAGAAGATTTTGAGGAACGCCTTCAGCAGAAGATAGAAAGATTGGAGATGGACCTACAGAAGACCAAGGTACAAGTAAAGACACCTGGCGTTCGGGGAACAGCGAACTTTAAGGCCCCGACCTACGATGGACAAACGACATGGACAATGTACCACCGTCAGTTTGAAGCAGCCGCCGCTGCCAACGGATGGACTGACCAGGAGAAAGCAGCGGCACTTGTCATCGCGCTGCGTGGCCCCTGCCCTGGAACTGTTGCAAACTATTCCTGCAGCCCAACAGCAGGAATACCAAACTTTGGTCGCTGCACTGGACAGAAGATATGGCGACCAACATCGACATAACTTTACCAGGCCCAGATCAAGACACGCCTGCAGAGGTCCGGAGAGAGTCTGCAGGAATTTGAAGCAGACTTACGTCGGCTGGTACACCTAGCGTATCCTGAAGCACCGGAAGGATTTAGGGAGGAACTCGCTGCTCAGTGCTTTATCAGCGGACTGAGGGACAACGAATTACAGAGGGCGCTGCAAATATCCCGATTTTCTACCAGCAGCGAAGCACTGGTCAGGGCGCTGGAAATCGAAGCTGCTTTTAGCGCCATCCCTAGACCGAAGATAAGATCGGTAACGGTAGAGGAACAGCCCGAGAGTACCCACAGAAGTTTGGAGGAGATGTGTAGAAAATTCGACAAACTATGTGAGCTACTAATAAACAAGGGAGTCAACAATAACCAGACAGAGAACCAGAGAAGATCCCAGGACATAAGGTGCTATAGATGTGGCAGGAATGGCCACATCAAACGGGATTGCCGCGTTCAAATGCGATCCCGTTCACCATCCAGAGAACGTAGGCACCAGGAAAACTAAAATCAGTCAATACTAAGGGGCGAGTATTGACTGGGGAGAACAGAGCCCCCAGGATTTTTTCCATTAGAAGTCTAGGAAGAACCGCTGACAGTTTGGTGATCGACGGGAAAGTAATGGAAAGGGAATCGAATGACAGTGGACACTGGCGCTATGGTATCGTTGGTGCGGGCTAACTCAGTGCAAGATTGAAGCTGATGCCTCTGAGAAGAAAGAGTGTGTTTACGTACAGGGACATCATTTTAAGTGTCTCACTCGATTTATTATTTTCCTGTTTGGTATTTAAAGATAGTAGAAAGATTTCCTAATGTAATTTTTCGCGAGGATGCCGATTCTCTACATTAAAATTTTTTACAACGTCAATTTTGACAGATACGACGCCATCTTGATTTTTTTTAAATGGAAACCACATCAAATTTTAACACCGCCCGGTAGACAAATTTTAGCTAATTTCAAAAATATATAGTTTAGTATACTTTGCTCTTACCGTTTTCGATATACAGTGGATTTAAAAATGAATTGTTTCAGAATCATTTTAAGTGTCTCACCCAATTTAAAATTTTCCTCTTTTCTATTTTAAGATAGTAAAAAGATATTTTAATGTAATTTTTCGCCGCGAGGACGCCGAATTTCTACATTAAAATTTTTTACAGCGTCAATTTTGACAGATACGACGCCATCTTGATTTTTTTTAAATGGAAACCCTCACATATTTTAGCATGGTCGGGTGGACATATTTTACAGCTAATTTCAAAATATATAGTTTAGTATACTTTCCACTTACCGTTTTCGATATACAGTGGATTTAAAATGAATTGTTCCAGAATCATTTTAAGTGTCTCACCAATTTAAAATTTTCCTCTTCTCTATTTTAAGATAGTAAAAAGATATTTCAATGTAAGTTTTCGCGAGGATGCCGATTTTCTAGATTAAATTTTTTTACAATGTCAATTTTGACAGATACGACGCCATCGTGATTTTTTTTAAATGGAAACTCCCACATTTTAGCATGGTCCGGTAGACATATTTTAGCTAATTTCAAAAATATATAGTTTAGTGTACTTTGCACTTACCGTTTTCGATATACAGTGTATTTAAAAATGAATTGTTCCAGAATCATTTTAAGTGTCTCACCAATTTAAAATTTTCCTCTTTTCTATTTTAAGATAGTAAAAGATATTTTAATGTAATTTTCGCGAGGACGCCGAATTTCTACATTAAAATTTTTACAACGTCAATTTTGACAGATACGACGCCATCTTGATTTTTTAAATGGAAACCCCACATATTTTAGCATGGTCCGGTAGACATATTTTAGCTAATTTCAAAAATATACAGGGTGTCCCAGAAATGAGTGCAGATATTTTAAGAGGTGGTAGATCTGGTCAAAATAAACATATTTTCTCTTTACCATTTTTAAAAATAAATTGAAAATAACTGAGTTATTTAACTTTGAAAATTTAAAAAATAATCGCAACATTTTGAGAACCGCCGGCAGATATTGCCAACTACATCCATTACCCGGATCAAGCCCGGATTTCAGTTAATTCGACGCACTGTGTTGCCATATGGACAAGAGTATATGTTTACAAGTAAGTCATAAAATCACAACACCTGAGGAGTTTGCAGAGATGCATTACATTTTTAAGATTGTGATATTATTACATAAAATAAATTAAAAGTTAAATGTTTAAAAGTTAAATTACAAAAACTTACAACAACAAAAAAAAGATACTTATGACAGATCGATGTAACTGCGACAGTTCTCTTTTCGATACACACTTAACTAAATACACTTCATTGTGCTGCTTTACTTGTACGTGCTATTATAAAAAACTGCTAAAATAACAGTCCCCATTTTTAACTTAACACATTATTTTCGTATAGGCTTCATCACTAATTTGAACCACTGATTTACAAAACACCTTGAAAAGCACACATTACACATTACTTTGAATATCTTTCTGAATGAATAAATGTTGAGAATTATTGTCTCTTACCGCCACTTTACGAACTACTTTCAATCTAAGAAAATACATGTTTCACTCAACAATTTTAAATACGTATTTTGCTTTTCGCTATTTTTCGATGTATTTCGACAATTTCGTCAACAGCCCAACCATCCGTCAGCCAAGACAGCCACGCATCACTGGTTGGTAACTGCTCACTGCTTCTTTGTCGCGCCGGCGTGTCGAGCTTGCGTCATGCGAGGTTGCCGTAGTTTCAACAATTTCAAATTCAAGACACTCAAGAAGCAATCAAATTCTTATTAAATTTTAAAAAA